CAAAAGACCTCTGCCTTGCTAGATCAAAGCACACTGCACAGCCAAGTATAGACCCTTCCAAACACCTGGTAACCACGCCCATGGTCATTCATCCCCTTATGCAGCCCTGATGGGTTAAGCAAGCCCAGATTCTCGGATTCTGAGTAAGTTCTCACTAGGAAACATCTGTGGATCTCTACAATTGTTATTTTACTTATTTTATACTTTTTTTTAAAAGACAGTGTAATTAGAGAGAAAACTTATTTATTAATCTAGTACATTTTTAGACCTTTCTTTCACCTTGAGAAGAAACTTTTAGGACTTTGTTTGGTTTTTGTTTGTTGGATCTGATTGGTTTGGTTTGGTTTAGTTTTTGTTTTTTGAGACAGGATTTCTCTGTGTAGCTCTGACTGTCCTGGAACTCCCCCTGTAGACCAGGCTGGCCTCAAACTCACAGACTCACCTGCTTCTGACTCCTGCGTGCTGGGATTAAAGGCATGCACCACCAAAGCCCACTGAAAAGAAACTTTAATATATTAATATAAATAAGTATCTATATATGTCAGTATTATATATTACAATATTCAGTTCTTCCTTGAAAAATAATATATTTTCTAAAAAGAAAATATATAGTCTTAGATGGGATATACATTTTATACAGTTGAAAAGTTACAATTTTTAGAAGTTAGAACAGTTGAGTTTGGCAGGCTTTGTAATACCTCTACAGTCTAGGTGGAAAATATTAAGCTGCCTGTCTCCTTGACTTCGTGTGTGTGTGTGTGTGTGTGTGTGTGTGTGTGTGTGTGTGTGTGTGTGTGTTTACTTTGGATCACATGATACTGTCTGTTGTGCTCAGTTTTTTCTGCAGTCTAAAGTTTTACCTTAGCAGAAGCAAGCACATTGCATCATGACCCAGCATAATAAATGTTCACCTGGACATGAGAAGGCATCAGAGAGAGAGGCATGGAACATTTAAAAAGCACACCAGAGGGACTAGACATTTAGGAGAATAAAGGACATTTCTCATATATGGGAAAACGTTAAAGATTTTCTTGAACTAGGCATAAGGGCTCACACCTGTAATCCCAGCACTTGGGAGATTGAGGCAGGGGGATTGCAGTTTGGAAGTCAGCCTGGACTACAGGATGAGAACCTGATTCAGAAAACCAAGAAGAAAAAAAGATTATCTTGAAAAGCAAAAATTATAGCAACCCTTAAGGAAAGGAGACATTCCCACTTGAAAGAACTAACTACAGAGTGTGAAAATACATGGTCTGTCTTCTCTATATGTGTATAAGTCTTTGAATAAAAGGCCCCTATTTTGTAATTCTAAAGAATGGATTTTATCCTGGCAAAAAATTAGTAACACAAAATACGGTTTGTTTGTTTGTTTGTTTGTTTGTTTGTTTGTTTGTTTGTTTTCATTCTGAACCAAAATCAGGGCCTCATTTGTGCTAGACAGGTACTCTTCCACTAAGCCATATTCATCCCCAGTCCCAGAACTTTGCACTCACACATATGTACAAACCACAGTGGGTGTGGAGGATGAGCTTGTACCACAGCATGTGTTGGGAGGGCATAGGACACCTTTGTGGAATAGGTCCTCCAGGTTCAAGGGATTGGACTCAACTCAATAGTCTTGCACACCAAGCACCCTTGCCTACTGAGCCATCTCACCAGCCCCTCCTAAGCATTTTATCATTCCAAACTGAAACTCTTCCCTTTAAATACCGTTTTCATCCCCCAGTACCTGATAAGCTTGGTTCTATTTTTGATCTCTGAATTTGCTTAGGTACCTCATATAAATGAAGTCATATGTATTTGTCATATAATAATTACTGTCTAGCTATGGGAACTGAAATAGCTGCCTCATTGTGCTTAGCATAATGTTATCAGCTCTCAGCCATATATACAGGAATTTCTTTTCTTGTCTTAATATTCTATTGTCGTGGTTTCTTTTAGCCATTGCTGGACAGAGGGGTTGCTTCTGCCTGTTGACTGGTGATTAATACTGCCCTCCACTAGTATTCAAATACCAATTTGAGCTCCTACAGAGTACTATTGGTAGCAGTAGCATTTCTACATCATGAGATGATTTTTGAGAAGGAGCCAGTTTTCCACAACATCTTACGGCTTATTTTCCACCTCCAGCACAGAAGGTTCCTAACGTCTCCATGGCCTCTGTATTAGTGACTTTTCTTGTTGCTCTGACAACAGTAACTTCAGAAGGTATAGGTTTATTCCGGCTCAGGGTTTAAGGAGACAGTCCTTCGTGGTAAGGAAGTTAGGACAGCAGGCACAAGAGGCAGCGGCCAAATGATGTCCAAGGTCGGGAAGCGGAAACAACACTGGTGCCATACTTGCCTTCTCCTTTTCATTCAGTGAGGGGCTCCAGCCAGTGACACCTCAGTTAGACCTTTCTAGAATCATCCTCACAAACATGTCCAAAGGTCTGTCTCCTAGGCAGTTCTAATCTCATCAGCTCATAATTAGTCACCACAATTGCCAGCATGGTCTTACAAAGTCTTGAAATTTTTTTCTCACCTGTGTAGAAATCCTTGCGAAGTATGGGGCATATACTATACTTGTATTGTCATTACACTGAAAATAACCTTTTGGAGCCCAGCATTCAAAGTGTTGTGTGAGCCAGCATTATAGAATATTGGCCTTTGTCTTACTGGCTGTGTGTTACAGTGTGTTCATGGAAAGGTCTCTAAGCTAAGAAATTACTCTTATAAAGTCAAATTCTTTATGTATTTATTTTTAGACAGGGTCTCTACATAACCCTGGCTGCCCTGAAACTCACTCTGTAGACCAGGCTGGCCTTAAACTCACAGAGATCCACCTGCCTCAGCCTCCTGAGTGCTGGGATTAAAGACATACACCTCCACACCAGGCTAAAGTTAAATTCTTAAGTCAAAGTAAATGAAGATGGGTTTGTAGTCTGTATGTCTCTGTTCTTAACAACACTAGCTTTCTTTCTTTCTACAGCTCCCTGTACAAGCAGCACTTTCTTTTGCCATAGCAACATGTGCATCAACAATTCTTTGGTCTGTAATGGTGTTCAAAACTGTGCATACCCTTGGGATGAGAATCACTGTAAAGGTAAGTCTGATGCAAATGCCAGCATTTCTATGAGGAGTAGGGGTTCCTTTCATAAGAAAGGAACTAAAATGTCTTTTTCTACTGGTGTGCTTAGCATAATTGTTTAGCAGAGCTAGACACATAATAACATTCTTTTTTTTTTTCCAAAGAAGGGTTTCTCTGTGTATCCCTAACTGTCCTGGAACTCACTCTGTAGACCAATCTGGCCTCAAACTCAGAAATCTGCCTGCCTCTCCCTCTAGAGTGCTGAGATTAAGGGCATGCGCCACCACCACCTGTCATAATAACATTTTTAAAGGATGATTGACTTCTGGGATGTTATAAAAGAAATATTCAACAAAAGCCTTTCTTTGTTTGTAGAATATATTGTCAAGTTATTCAGAAGTGTGTCTTTGTACTTTATACCCTGTATTACATTATTGTTGAACTATGTAGTTAGATAGTTTAGAGGATAGCCTCGAGAATGGAAGAACTAATAAGACCAACTCATAGGTTATCACAGTGATGTAAAAGCAATGCATTATAGAATGCTTCTTTTTTTTTCTCTTCATCAAGTTACTTCTATTTCTAACATATACTCTGAAAGGCAAATATGATGATGAGAGGTATTAGATACTGAAACTTGGTTGTCACATCAGTTGGAAAAATAAAATGTATCTGTCTTTCAACCTACTAAGAGTTGAATACATAAATATCTTACTATAGGAAGCTGATGTAATCTGAGGGTAACACTAACTACTTGGAATGCATTTATCTATCATTCCAAAACAGTAGACCATGGTGGTACACCTGGATTGTTAGTCTGATCCTGCAGATAGGAATCAACATAGCAGTTGAATCTGCCTTGTAGCAGAAAACTAAACTTGATACATCAGGAGTATTTGTTTTTGACATTTTCTATATTACTATAATTTGAAGATTATAGGTACTTGTGAACCTTTTGAGTAAGGAACAAGCACTTTAGTTTTTCTGTTTCTAGCTAACTATATCATGATTTGTTACTTGACTCAAAAATCATAATAGTATTTTCTATTGGTTTTAAAAACCAATTCTTCAGTTGCATTATCTCTGATATATTTGAACCAAATATCCTGTTTTACCTAAAAATATCTAGTCAATCTGTGCTGGAACTTATGAATTGTGAAAACCTCAACATTTCTTTGTTACAGAGAAGAAGAAAGCTGGACTATTTGAACAGATCACTAAAACTCATGGGACAATTATTGGCATTACATCAGGGATTGTCTTGGTTCTTCTCATTATTTCTATTTTAGTACAAGTGAAACAGCCCCGGAAAAAGGTTATGGCTTGCAAAACTGCATTTAATAAAACTGGGTTCCAAGAAGTATTTGATCCTCCTCATTATGAACTATTTTCACTAAGAGAGAAAGAGATTTCTGCAGACCTGGCAGACTTGTCAGAAGAACTTGACAACTACCAGAAGATGCGGCGCTCCTCCACGGCCTCCCGGTGCATTCACGACCACCACTGTGGATCTCAAGCATCCAGTGTCAAACAAAGCAGGACCAACCTCAGTTCCATGGAACTTCCCTTCCGAAATGATTTTGCACAACCGCAGCCCATGAAAACATTTAATAGCACCTTCAAAAAAAGCAGCTACACTTTCAAACAAGCGCATGAGTGCCCAGAACAGGCTCTAGAGGACAGAGTGATGGAAGAGATCCCCTGTGAGATTTATGTCAGAGGGCGAGATGATTCTGCCCAAGCATCCATATCCATTGACTTCTAATTGTCAACTAAAGGCATTAATTATTAAGTATGTGTATGCAGCCTACACCAACACTCATTCTGTCTCAGCAGCCAATCTTGTTCTGTCAAATTAGAAAGACCTTCATAATTTATCATAATGCTGATGATTTTATTATCTCAGGCAATCTATATATGTGAAACCAACCAAGGAACTTAATGTATTCAGTGGAAAAAGTCATCATCTGTTGCTTGGCATCTTATCTACAAAATACCAACAGTTCAATAGCAGTTGAGGAGTGAGTGGTCATGTTGAGCCAGGCTCAGCAGCCTGGAAGTATTGATATCAGGATACTGTTCTTATTCACACAGCCCCATCAGTTTGATCCCACAGTAAATTTAAAAGTAAGATTTTTTTCATATTCCTTTTGTCTTTCTTTTCTCTAATATATTTTATTTGCCTATAGTTTTACCATTTTGATTTCCTTCATTAAGGGGATAATGTGTTGCTTAATTCAGCATGGGCATGTATTTGCTCTTATGTGTAGAATATGGCTACTGCTGTGATGAATGGCAGTTTAAGACACAGTCATATTTCATTTCTCCCTGAATCATTCCTATACTATTGTCTTTAATAACTGTATCTTTAGTCCTGTTTTTCTGGGGGAAGTAATAGATGACATGATTTATCACCTTTAAATCATGCTTCGTCTTAGTTATACTAGAAAAGTAATAATCCTGGGGTATATTATTACCAGTTAGTCAGGAGTGGAAATTTGAGAAAGATTAAAAACGTGTAGCAACCTCTGCAGTTGTTGGGTCTCATTCAGTGACAGACATTCATCCCAGTAATCAGGATCCTAGAACTCTCTTGTGGGCAGGCCTTTAATTATGGCTCCATGCAGAGCTTCTTGTCAGATCTATGTTCCCTATCATCTTTCAGAAAGATTTATTTGTTCTCTTGGTATTGGTTTGTCTTTGACACATGGTAACCATGGTTAGTGGAAACTTAAATTCTCTAAGAAACTATGTGAGCCTTTACATAGCTTCTGCTTGGAAAAGTGCATTTTTCTAGCCATTATCATCAAGAATAGCAGCTTCAGCTTTTTTTTAAAGCACTTTTGACCTTATGTTTTGTAAATTATATAAAACAATAATTTATAAACATGATATCAAAACTCATTGTGTTTTTTTAGACTTTTGATATTATTTGATACTGTACAAACTTTATTAAACCAAGATTTAAGACATACAAGACAGATTTCTTTGAATGTTCACATCAGAGGCTTTGTATAGAAATACGCTGTGATGGGACTGTACTATAGACTATTATAAAGACCTTGGTCATGGTGATGTGTACATAAGCTTTTCATTTCTTTTGCTGCTGTATTTAGTTGCTGATAAGTTTTTCACTATGTGGTATTTATTGTTCCAAATCACAACAGAAATCTTATATTAAAGTATACATTGTTACATAATCCTTCAATTATATTATTTATATCAGGAATACTTTGGATAAGATAGAATGGGGAAGAATCCATATATTTAATGATAAATAATATGAATAATTTCATTTTAAAGAGGTAAATTCTCATTTTCTGTATTGAACTAAATTTTCAATGAAATGAAAAGTTCAGGTTTCACTAGATTTTATTAATTCTTTTAAGTACTACATAAATCTGATCTCTGAGATTGCTGAAAACTGTGACCTTCAATGTGATGTACTTTCTGCCCAAAGTGTTCTCTGTATGACACTTTTATTTTTAAAAAGAAAATGATATCAAGAAGATAGGAAAACTTGCACTTAGCATAATAATTATTTAACTTTTTGAAGTCAGTAAACATTCCTGCTTCTTAAAAATAGAACTTGGAAAAGTAAAAGGAATTTCAAAACGTAGTAATCACTGAGCTAACTATCCAGAGAAAGATTAGATAACTATGTTCTTTTGTTAACTATTTATTAAGTAGGCATTTTATTAGGTGACTTAGGTGAGTAAATGTCCCAAGAGCGTAGTAAATACTTAAATTGACTGCTGTGATCTCATGAAGTTCTTTCTCATGAAAGAAAAATTAACATATTTCCTGTGTAAAATTATATCCATTGTAAAAATAGTTGTCATACTCATCCATAATTTTTAGATTATAGAGCTTATAGTATGATTTTGTACATCATTATCACTTGTAGTTATATTTTTATTTTTAACACTGTATCCTATTTGAAAGGAATTTGAAAAGACTTATAAAACACAGGTGTTTGTAGAAAACACTAGACTTTACAACATTGTAGATTTGCATGATCTCATGCAACTCAGCAAGAGAAGCTTGGATGGTCATTTGATTCTAAGTTCTCTGACCACTAACCTGAAATTTGTTCCTTTTCACAGTAGAAAACACTTATATTCAGAGGCTAAAGTGAAAGCCATAAATTTAATAATGACAGACATGAAATTTAGCTATCTTATGTGAGTTATTACACCCTACAGAGTACCCAGTGTTAAACAAGCTCTCTGACAAACAATGTAAAGCAGGAAGGTGGTAAAACTCTGCAGTGCCAGAGAATGCTACAGACCAGCTGTATGATGTCAGCATTGCTATCATCCATCCCAAGCTTAGCATAGCTGTCAGCCCCAGTGGCCACAGATACAACCTACTTATTCACTATCTCAAAGACACAGGAAGAAACTGTGCTATTCCTTTTGCAGAGGAGGGATATTCAATATAAATATTTCACAAAAACCAAAGGATATTCACGTTTCACATCACAGAGCTCTTAACTGGTTCCCAGTTGTGTTTTGTGTAGTCACTAAGCATTGAGGAGCCGCAGTCTGCACCAAATGCTTCTGCGGTTCTGTTACTACCTAATGAGGGTGCTTGCTTGTTTTCAGAGCATGTCAGCTGCTGAGAGAAGATGAGAAAAGCCTGGTTGTCATTCCAGTAATAATACAGTCAGAGATTGTATAATAATTATTACAGTCAGAGATTACACTTCGTTGCGAAATGATGTCTGCTGTATGTTCATGTTTCTTTATTGCAAATACTAAAAGAAATATGCCTGATTCACATTGACTATGGACAGAAGGAACTTTAGGTTTTGCTCTTTTTAAAGATCCCAGAGAGATGATCTAGTCTAGTTTTGTAATGAGAAGACTAAACTCTAAAGAGGAAGTGGCACCCCATGTCTCCGAACTCCTAGCCCAGTGTTCATCCTTGGCTTCTTGTTCCCTACCTGCTTAGCTTTTAAAAACCACACAGTCTTAAACATCAGCCTAGATGTTCCATGCAAAGCTTGTTAGTTGTTCTTACCTAAAATGTAATGCTATAATTTTGTTTACATTATGGTTTCCACCCCTCCCTTTTTAATTTATATAACACTGCTATCCTACTGCTTTTTGTTACCAGGCTTTGTTGGCACCTGCAAAATATGTAATTACTGTGCATTCTTAATAAACAGTGCTGGTTAGCAGCACACAGGGTGATGCCAGAGAGAAAGCGTCTTTGCTTTCACTTTTATAATGTTTTTTTAAGTTAAAAGAAACGATGTACATTACAGAAATTATAAATATTGGGGTACCGTATCTTGAGTTTTGAGAATTATTGGAGTCTGAACCACAATAAGAAAACAAGCTGACCTGGGATATCTTTTTAGCTTCCTGCACCATCAATTACCTGTTTTATATACCTCTACTAGTTATATGCTCTTCTTTACTAAGCTTTTTAATATACTTTTGATTATATTTCTGAGAGTGGTTTACTGGCTTAAAAAGCCCAGCAAGCTAATGATGAGGGTGCACGTATAGTGAGTACTACCTAAACTTGTTTTTTTAAGCAGTAGATTTTTATTAGAGGTCAACTTCCAAATCATGTAAGAATTCTCATGTGCTTAATCCAGATTTGGCACTTTAAAGTATTTAACCCTTGAACTGCAAATAAAAACTCCTGTTTTGATTTTCTTGCTTGCCTCAATTTCTAAAGTGTATAAACATAGAACATTTAGGTTCCTTTGGGCATCAGCATTTACATGCCCTTCCTAGAACAGAGTAGACATGTCCTATTTTTACTACTTCCCAGATAAAATAGTCATAGTTGAGATTTATTTGTTAAGGTAACTTTGGATGATTATTAAATTGAAGAATCATTTTTTACTGTCAAATTAAGAGAAGATGGGCTTAAAAAAATAAAGTTACAGGATGGGGAGCTGAAGAGATAGCTTAGCAGTAAAGAACACTTACTATACTTCCAGAAGACCAAAGTTCAATTCCCAGCACCTACATGGCAGCTCACAACCACTGTTACTCCAGTTCCAGGGACTCTAGCTCCCTCTTCTGGCCTATGTGGGTTCCAGGCATGCATGCTGTACACAGACATACAGGCAAAACACTCATATACATAAAATAAAATTTGTAACTAATAGCTCTCTAATTGGACTTAAGGCCCACTCAGCAAGAGGGAAACCATGCCTGGTTCTGGAAACCTAGCCAACTACCCAGGGCTAGTGAAGGCATGGACCTTGGAGGAGAACCTACAACTGCCCATTTACTGAACCAACACAATCTCTAATTACACTCTAAATATTTATTCTTATACCCACAGATAAGTGTAGTTCCCGCTCCTCATCAAGAAAATTTCTCTTTACAATAGGAGACCATTACAGAAGCCACAACTGGTCAAATTACAGAATTGTGGAAGCCAATCCCAACTGATACATCTATAACACAACTCCTGTACCTAAGGCTTAGAAATCTGTTTGAGAGAGGGTGGAAAATTATAAGAGCCAGATACCAAGAGTTTGCTGTGAGACTGTGTCTCCTTGAAATGTCCGAAAAGCTATATCCAGGAAGTCTCACCGACATAGCTAATAAACATGGCCTGACAAGGATGACATCAGTAGACATACTTGCATGGAAGGGGAAGCTCATGAGACTTCAGCTATAGGCAAAGAACCACGGGCAGCTAATGAATGCTGAGAACTGGAGAAATAGTCTTCCCCAGGGAAGAGCACAGCAATTGGTTGGTTATCCAGTATGGCATGGTCAGCCCTGAAAGCAAACATCCAAGTAACATTATACAAATTGAGCAAGTTATATTTATATATTTAGGGAGATAGGGAGGTAAGTAAGTCAGTAGGAGACAGACAGACAGACAGACAGATAAACTTAGGGAGATAGACAACACACATAACTGTTAAAGAAAAGGGGGTTGTGAATTTAAATGAGAGCAAGAGGGGGTACATGGGAGGGGTTGGATGGAGGAAAGGAAAGGTGGGATGATATAATTAAAATATCAAAAAAGTAAAATATAAAATTAAAACTAAAAAATTTTAAAGATTCTCTGAATCTTTTAAAAAAAAAAGTTACAGACTGGAGGGCTGGCTCGGCAGTGCAGGTAAGAGCTCTTGCTGCTCTTCTAAAGAACTTAAGTTTGGTTCTCTGCCACATGTAACTCCAGCATCGCGAGATCTGATGCTGTCTTCTGGCCTTTGAGGGCACCCACACATGTGGTATACCTTTATAAATAGACATAAATAAAAATAAAAGTGAATCTGTGTATATGTCTATATATCACATGTGTACAGTCATTTCAAAACATTTCAAAGAATCTCTTAACAGAACTAACTTTCTTTCAACAAGGCAGAGTGTGCAAATCATGAGTTACCATAGTAAAAATTATAAGTGAACTCAACAGTGCTTTATTTCTGAAAGTTCTGAGTTCATGGTCAGCTTTAATATCATTCTGAAAGTTACTCCTGTTCTTTTGCAGGAGCGTCATTGGAGCTGACATTTCTCTCTTCCACACATCATACCAAATTCAGGCAAGCTTCTGAGGGTACGGTTTCCCCCTTCTTAATTTTTTAAAGCTGTTCCTTAAGTTTCATAGTATTTTTTCATGACTCTGATTCTTCTCAGGAGTTTGCATTCATAGTCCCATAGTTGGAAATCAAGGACATAGTTCCTCTCTCTTGTTGCTTATTTTATTCTACCTTACCCTGAGTTTCTTTTTACCCAGTATTTCTAATTCTACTCTTATTCCTAAATTTCTTCTTACACTATATTCCTCCTATAGTCTACCTTACATTTTCTTCTTAATTTTTAGAGATAGAAATTAAGAGAGAAAAAAAGAAAGAAATCTAGATAGAAATATATGCTGTAAGCCGGGCGGTGGTGGCGCACGCCTTTATTCCCAGCACTCAGGAGGCAGAGGCAGGCAGATCTCTGAGTTCGAGGCCAGCCTGGGCTACCAAGTGAGTTCCAGGAGAGGCGCAAAGATACACAGAGAAACCCTGTCTCGAAAAAACCAAAAAAGAAAAAAAGAAATATATGCTGCAGCCTCACTCACTTTTAACTTTGGCATTCTGCCACCTAACTTTCACTCCCGAGAATAAAGTACCATCGCCTTCATTTTTAATTCCTTATCAGGCATGCCTCCTTATACCCAAGACACCCCCTGACACTCCCTTTGCCAAGTCCCTGGTCCCTGTTCCTGGCACCATCTGTAGGAGCCCAGCTGGGAGACTGGCTACCACATTTTACCCCAGGGTTCTCTTGAGGAGAAAGGGATAAGAGATTTAGATAGAAGGATAGAGGGGAGAGAAACAGAAACACAGGATAGCCTTGGGGGCGGGGGGACTAGATCCTTATCCACCAGCCCCTTCTGTCTCTTCTAAAGGGCTATTTGTAGGAATGCCAAGGGGTGGAGCAAAAACCTCCCCCATCTCGGCCAAGTGTAGACCCTTCCAGTCACCTAGGAACCATGCACTTGGTCAAACAATCCTCTAATGCTGCTCTAATGCCGGGTAAAGCAAGCTCAGATCTCACTAGGAAACCTTTGTGGGCCTCCACAGTGTTCTCATCTTCTAACATTTGTCATCCTCTGTCTACCGCATCCGATGCTATTGGTCCTCTCAGCCAGCAAGTGTATCATTGAAATTTTTCTTTTTTCATTTTTGAGACTGGATGCTGATTGCTGGAAGGAATTTTCATCAGAAATCTAGGTATTGAACCATGCTTTCTATTCATATCTTCTATTCTTTATCAATAACATTGTGGTGTTGTGTTAAGTGGTTTTTCAGAGAACGATTATCACATTTTGAAAAAGAAAGAGGAGGAGAGTTCTTGGCCCCTGGAGTTGGCACTCTGTTATATGCAGACCTCATAAGATAATTAGCTCTGAACATAAGAGTCAACTGGCTCAGCTCTGAAACCAACACCTTTTAAATTCAGTTAAGGAATTCCTTAGTCATTAGCTTTCAATATACAAAAACACTTGGAGTTAGAAACTTCTAAGATGAGACAATCTTCTATGATGGCAGTGACCTGTCTGCTGGTACTCAGCGCTTCTGTAGTTTTCTGTCCTTCAGTAGGACCTAGCCACAGGTGTCCTTTCAGAGGTAAGGTGACAGGCCAACCTCCAGCTGCTTTGTGCAGCCTGACTGTTGGGCTTCCTGCTGGAGGAAAGCAGTTGCAGTGTTGTGAGAGAGGCCTGTGTGATAAATGGACATTTCGGTCCAGCAGCTAAGTGGAACTGAGGCCCTCACTGCCACACCCTGTAAAGAGTGGACTCTGTAGCCTGGCCTCGTGGCCCACCGCTTTAGCACTCAGGGAGGCAGAGGCAGGCAGATCTCTATGAGTTCTAGGCCAGCCTGGTCTGTATATCAAGCTCCAGGCTAGCCAAGGCTGCATAGTGAGACCCTGTTTCAAGAGGAGGAGCAGCAGGAGCAGGAGCAGCATCTGGAACCACGGCGTGGCTGCAGCTGATACCTTACTTGCAGGTTTGTGAGTCACCTAGGTTACTAACAAAAAAAAAAGGTATTTGCAGTTTAAAACAGCTACTAGATTTGGAAATGAATTGTTTATGCAGCCATATCTAACCAATATAAAACTAAAAAGGGAAGGCAAAGTCAAAAGAGATGACCCAGTGGTTAAGAACACTTGCTGCTCTTGCTGAGAACCCAGGTTCAGTTTCTAGCACCCTGGTGGCAGCTCACAACAACCTGTAATCCAGTTCCAGAAGATCTGACACCCTCTTCTGGCCTCTGCAGGCACACGTGTGGTGCACACACATGCAAGCACATAAAATAAAAATCCTTAAGGGGGGGTGTGTGTGCAGGAGAGATGGCTCAGTAGTTACGAGCAGCTGTTGCTCTTCCAGAGGACCCAGCACACACAAATGGCTCACAAACATCTGTAACTCCTGATCCCATTTTACTTCACCCCACCCCTTTGATGTACTGGAAGTGGAACCCATGGTGGAACCATGAAATACACCACTGATCTATACCCTCAGTGCCTGTCCTGACTTTTTCAGTTTCTAGAAGGCAGTCAATAGCCATGTGTCCTGGTTATGGTTTCTATTGCTGTGATGAAACACCATGACCAAAAGCCAGTTGGGGAGGAAAGGGTTTATTTGGCTTACACTTCCAAATTATAGTTCATCATGAAAGGGAGATCAGGACAAGAACACAGGCAGGAATCTGGAGGCAAAAGCTAATGCAGAGGCCATGGAAAGCCAGCTGCTTACTGGCTTGCTCCTGGCTTTCTCAACAGTATCTCAGTTAGGGTGTCTATCACTGTGAAGAGACACCATGATCACACAACTCTTATAAAGGAAAACATTTAATTGGGTCTGGCTTACCATTTCAGAGAGTCCATTATTGACATGGCAAGAAACATAGCAGCATTCAGGCAGACATGGTGCTGGAGAAGGACCTGAGAATTTTACATCTTGATGCAAAGGCAATAGGAAGTAAACTGTCCTACACTGGGGGTAGCTTGAGCATATGAGACTTCAAAGCCCACCCCACAGTGACACACTTCCTCTAACAAGGCCACACCTACTCCAACAAGACCACACCTCCTATTAGTGCCACTCCCAATGGGCCAAGCATTCAAACTCAATGAGTCTATGAAGCCCATTCCTATGCAAACCACCACTGCCAGTTTTCTTACAGA